TGCTGTAAAACTTTTTGAGGTTTTTTAAAATATGTTTTCCTTTACTTCAGAGAGAGGAAAGGAGAGAGAGAGATAGAAACATCAACGATGAGAGAGAACCATTGATCAGCTGCCTCCTGCACACCCCCTTCTGAGGATGGAGCCAGCAACTCAGGCATGTGCCTTGACTGGGAATCAAACTTCAACTTCCTAGTTCATAAGTCAATGCTCAACCACTGAGCCACATTGGCCAGTTAACACTATTTATTTTCTAAGATATATGTTAAAAATGTTTATAATGGAAATCACAACTATATATTTATACACATATATATATATATTAACCTCCATAAGAATGATGTATGTGTATATGTGTTTAATAGTTACTGAGTTATCTGCAAATCTGTATTGCTTATTTGTTTAAAAGCATGTTTTAGAACCATATGTATTTACTTTATATTAGAAACCAAATCATGTACCACATTTATTCAATTATATAATTATGTGTATGTATATATGTGTGTGACTAAAATATATTACATAATGTAGGCATTATGTAATGCTAAGTATCGTATGTGTGGCTATGCATATTCTCATATTTTTATTCTTTTCCCCATTTTTTTGTGTAAGAAGAAAAAAACATACCATGTGTTTTCTTCTACATCTCATTATTTACCAACATCTTTAGGGTAGGTTTTACTTTCCTCATTTTTCAGAAGGAGAAACTGAGACAGAGAAGCAAAGTAACTTTGCAAGGTCCAGAAAGCAAATGGTGACATAAATATAATGTAATCTCAGTCTCTGTAAGCTTCTAATCACTAAGCCACACATGGTTGTCTGTGTGTATAGACAGATATGCAACATTAATGTTTCTTGGAGAGAGAGCTACTCCAGTGTTGGCATGTAGATGTTATTTTGTATGGTTTTTCAAAATAATCTAGTTTGAAGATGTTGAGACTAATTCCTGTGAATTGAACAGTGAGTTGAAAGTGTCTTCACATCATTATCTATCTTCTATATGGCTTCAGAACTAGTTTGAACTTTTTTTTTTAATATATTTTATTGATTTTGTACAGAGAGGAAGGGAGAGAGATAGAGAATTAGAAACATCGATGAGAGAGAGTCATCGATCAGCTGCCTCTTGCACACCCCTACTGGGGATGTGCCCGCAACCAAGGTACATGCCCTTGACCGGAATCGAACCCGGGACCCTTTAGTCCCCAAGCCAACGCTCTATCCATTGAACCAAACCGATCTTGGCTAGTTTGAACTTTTTAATTGCCCTGCTACACTGCACTGCATACTCTACTGATGTAAGATTCATTTTTTTCATTTTCTATCATCTGAATTAGGCAGTAAAAGGTGATATATAAGGGTTGCAGATTATATATATTTGGGAACTCTAAAAGTATGAATACATATTTTATTCATATAAAAATAAGTAATTAATGAATAAGAGAAAATGTTTTTGAAGGGGAAGGAAAGGTCTTTACTGGATAAATTATTTTTAACTTTTGGATTGGAGCAATTAAAAAACTGTCTCCATTTTTTGTATCTCATTAAACTTCTAAAAAAAACTCCTTTATGGTTTTGATAAAGTGGTAGCAGCAATTTGCTTTTACATAAAACAGATAGATGATAGATGGATAGATAGATGTGGGAACACATACATAGTGATGAAATGTTTTAGAATTGTTCACATATATTCTGTGGCGAAAAAGGAAAATGGTAAGGTTCTGTCTACTTTTATACATTTAAAAAAAGGTTTTCTTACACTATGTGATTTATAGAATTTCCTCCCTCCCTTATTTAGTTTTCTAAATTTATTTTTACCTTGCAATTCCAAATACTGAAGTTTCTTTCTACGAAGGACTAGCATTTGGAAGACTCTTAATTATGATGGATTTTATTCAAAGCATGAAAAATATATCTTAGCCATATCTGTTTGAATAACTCTGATTTTTTAAATTTGATTCTTCATGTAACAATGGATTCATATTTGCACCTTATAAAATTCAGCAGGTTTTATGCTATTTAAATAGAAGATTAGAGAATAGCAGAGATAAAAAATGTACATTTCATTTGCTTTTTTAACTCTTCATCTAAAAAGTCAATATTTTTCTTATTGATTTTTTTATTATTTGGTTTAAATATTTCCCCCTCTATTTTGTAGAGTAAGGATGCCATTTGGGATATGTGTGGTTTGTATTTTATAAAATATATTCTGGTTTTCTTATTTTCAAGAACCTGAAATTTATGAAAATTAGTTATATGAGCTTGTTTTCATAACTGTTAAATGAAACCTTCTAGTCACTAAGGCTTTTTAAATTTTTCTTATCCTATCACAATCTTCTGAGCAAATCTTTAACAAAGTTAAATGTTTCATTGGTCTGAATGAAATGTTTCATTGGATATGAAGAAAGTACTATAATCTATAATATGCCAACTATGGCTTTCTTTTAACTTTATTTTTATTGATTACATTTTAAACTTTTTAAAATTTAACTGTAAGAATGGATTTTAGCAAAAAAAAAAAAAGGGGGGGTCTCTAAACCATCAATTTGTAATGTTCCAATCTATAATGTTACAGGGAAATTATTTAAGTGCCCTTTGTTATATTTAGAACTTTTGAGAAAAATGTACCTTGTTAGGACTTAGATAAGTAATTGAGGTGCCAAATCCACATTTTCTTCATAAAGTTTATTTCTTATCTCCTGGGAGTAAATCTGCCTACTAACAGCCAACAACTTGGTGGAGGAGAAATAAGTAAAAAAATAGAATGCAGGGAGGTAAAGGCACTGATGAAGAGAATGCCCTTGGGTAGATCAAGAAAGATGCCGCCAACCATACCTGAGAAAATAAAGCTTCCAAAGGTGGCCATGTTTCAGTTGCCTTATAATGACTGAACAGTACAATGACTGAAGATGTAAAAGTGTTACTAACCTAAATGGCTAATAACTGGAAATGATATGGGAAAACATTTTGATAATTGAATATTAAAAGACATTAAAATAATGTCTTCCAAAATTTTTAATAATATAAGAAAACATGTGTGATACGGTATTTGTTATAAAGGATACAACTCCAATTCTTTCTATACAAATACTTTAATTATAGAAAATAATAAATATACATGCATAAGAAATAAACTCACCAATTTTAATAGTGCATTATGGGCAATTTAAATTTTATTCCTTACATATTTCATAAGTTAACTTGAATTTACCTTTAATGTGAACAGAATTTTATTCCTTCTGTTTTTAGAGGAAGAATTATGGCTAATGGTTCAGGTGATAGAGACTGAATTTTATTTTTTTGGAAGAAAGGAAGGACAGAAACTTGAGGAATAGCTCAATGTGGAGAGGTTAGAAACAAAGCGATAAGGTGAGAAAAAGAAAAGTAGAGTGAGAACCAGGGGAATGGGGTGTCACGTGCAAAGAAAGAAGGATTGTTACCAATATCGAAGCCACATTGAGTTCAAGGGCAATGAGGATGGAGATGCCTCAAAAGGGCTCTGGAATCAGCAAAGACCAATACTTAATCACTGTTACTAAATCTCCTAGAGATCTTTGATTTGTTTTGAATTGATGTTCATTAATCAATAGCATATACTAGTATATTAAAGTATTACTGGCATTCAATAAAAATGAACCAATGTAGATGACACATTTAATCATTATATATACTCTCATTTTAAATATATAAGTAGATATAACATCTATTTGTAAGTACATGTATTTTTAATGTAAGCATGAAAGTGGAGCCAAGCCAGGTATTTCAGCAGAGGGATTTAATGTGAGGAATGAAATTAACAGTCCTAGAGGATAACACAGAAATTAGGAGGCTGTCCACCCCCAGGGCTACAATGACCTAAGAAGAAAGTGAGGTTGTACTGAGTCAGAAGGTGTCCCCAGCCAGAGATGAAGTTAGGAAGGAAGGAGAGGACTGCTGAGAACCTCCCCTGAGGGGAGAATATCCTGGTTTCTCCCCTCCTCCTACCTCAGTCTCCAACCTGTGCCCCTTATTGGCCAAGTCATACAAAAGCAGTGGGCAAAAAGTTCCCAGAAGTCAGCTTTCTTGGACATAGTGCAGAAGAAAAGAGGGGAAGGGGACTGGGAATGTTTAATAGGATATTTATATGGATAGACATGAGGCTGAGCGGCATCATTTTTGATGGACTAAAATATTTACAAAAACATATATATATATATATATACATATATATATATATGTATATATATATACATATATATATATATCTTTTTCTTTTATAACCAGTTGGGTAGAATCTTGTCTTTCTCTGATAGCAGAACCATAGAGTAGAAAATATGAGAGTTATTTTCAACTGTTTGATTTTAGTGCATCATAAAAATACTTCAGTTGTGTTTAATGCACTTTGCTGCAGTGCTTTCCACATGAAATATTCACATAATGAATCAGAACCCAGACAGTCTTACTGAAAATGCCTGTAGTACTTATGGATTTAAAATTTAAGATTTTGCTTCATAAGAAACTTCAAAATTAATTTTCTGAACATAACAATTTTTTTCAATATGTAATACACTTTCTGTAGAGGACATAAAAGGTTTATACGATTTAATATTCTACAATAATTTCCTTTGTGGAAGAGTTATAATTATCTCCAAAACATGTTATGTATCTACCCAGTGTTACATATTCTTCTTACTGAAATAGGGTTATTAAAATGTACTTCCGAATTAATTCCCTACAGTTGCTTTCTCTTTGTACAAAGTCCAGTCTTAAATATTAATGGACATGTAATGCCTAAAACTTAGAATTTTTTTATTGTTCTTCTAATTGCCAAGTTTTTCTTTTTCCCAGTCTTGCTCGACATTTAGGTCACAGAACAATTAGTTATAATGGTCATTTTTTAGGAAAAAAGAAAGAAAATATTACTCATAAAGTACATCAACTTTTCTTCTTGACATGAATCAAGGGTTTGAATTAAACATAGCTGAGAGCTCAGGTTCCCATTTAAAAAATGAATTTTTTTATTGCAGACGTCTGGAACAAAACTCGATCAAGGTCATCCCTCCTGGAGCTTTCTCACCATATAAAAAGCTTAGAAGAATGTGAGTGAAAAATGTTCTGAAACGTGTAATTTTTAAAATTTTACGGGTCATGGCCATGCAAGGACATCCATCTAAGCATGAATATTTAGGTGTTAGCTTAATTAAGTGATGGGACTGTTTAATGCTAGCTCTATGGTATGTAATATTAATAGCTGGACTAGGTAATATTTTAAGGTTCTCTCTAATTTTACATATTTATTCACATGAGTGCAATCAAATCTTAGATGTTCTATATTCAAAAATAAGACATGGCATCTTTTCTAAATAAGAAAATAGTCAGTAATTGATTTAAAAGGGTGACTTTTAAAATGTAGGACCCTTCAGATGTTTTATGTTACAAATTATATACAGGTATTGATAGGTGCAAAAATCAGCATACAAACTCGATAAAAAGCTTTCTCCTGCAGTAATCTCACTGCTGTTGTATTGAATATATCCTAACCTTATTTCTGATCTCAGTGACCTGAGCAATAACCAGATCTCCGAACTGGCACCAGACGCCTTCCAAGGACTGCGCTCCCTGAATTCACTGTGAGTATTGACCACAACCCTGAAGGAAGGCACACTTACTCGTGGCTCTGTCTTTTCATTTGGATTTTTAAAAATTACCCCTTTAAATTTTTGCATTATGAATTATTAATTATTATTGGTCGTTAGTGAATCCCACTGTTTTCAATGAGGAGTGTTACCTGTCACTAAAATCAGTTTGTTTTAGCTCAGCCATTGTTGCTCAGTGGTTGAGCATCATCCTATGAGCCAGAAGGTTACAGTTTGATTCTGGCCAGGGCACATGCCTGAGTTGCAGTCTTGATCCGCAGTAGCAGGAGGCAGCCAATGGATCTTTCTCTCCCTCTCCTTTCCTTTTTGAAATCAATTTCAATAAGTTAAAAAAAAAAATCAGCCAGTTTTAGGGTATGTATTTTAGGACTTGATAATTTTGCTGTTTAGAGAGCAAGAATAAGAGCCACCTTTTGGATCATTGTTGTTTCTAAAATGAAGGGGAAATGTTTATTTTGGAGTGCGCTGGTCAATGTTGTATTTATAATCCCGAAGCTTCTAGATCTCTGGGGACAGCATCGGGCCCCACTAGAAGAATACTAGGTAGTTTCTCGCAGAGAACAGTGGAAGGTGTCCAGGGAGAGGCCCCTCAGCTCCCTGCTTTCTCACCTTCAGACTTCCCCGAAAGAACCAGCTTTAATCTCTAACAGATCAAAGATAAGAACGGTTTTAATGTCAGAAGGACTTTCAGGGAGATAGCTAAAGTGGCTCTAAAATAAATAGGCAAAGCCTGTCATTCCTTTAAACTTGTAAAAATTTTCAGAAGTACATCAAGTAAAGTCACCTTTGTTTCAAATTTTAACTTTAATGTTTGAAAACGGAGACTTGCGTGTATTTTCAATGAGTGGATGCTTAGAGAATGGTTCCTATTGACGTAGAGCTCTATGCTTTCAGAAGTTCTTGCGAGCCAATGAGAATTCCACGATATAAATGATACACACCCAGGGGTTCTATAACAACTACACCCACTTGTATCAAGGGGAGAACGAAACAGGTGCAATCACCTGAGCACATGGGTCTTCAGATTGCTCTGCTGGTCTGCTCAGAAAACTACATATTTCTTTAAAACAAGAAAATAAGGAACTATCATTTCAGCAGTGTCTGCTTAGGTTCTTTGTTTGTTTTGGGTGTTTTTGTTTGTTTGTTTGTTTTACTACAGAAAGTCCAAGGCTAGGGGAACAATTGTTGGCAGATGTAAAGTGTAGTCATGTATTGCCCTCACGGTGGGCTGTCAGGTTCTAAAATAATGAAGTTTAATGTAAAACACAGTTCAATCACCCTAATTGTCCATAAAGTACCATGTATGCTATTCTGGACAATAATACCATCCAAAGTAAATACAGAGAGCCTTCCAGCCAAAGGGAAAGAACAGAAGTCAAGTCCACATACCAATTCCTGGTCTTTCAAGTATTTGTGCCTCAAAGATAATAATTACTAGCAAATGTCAATGAGATGTGGAGAGTTCTTACTAAGTTCCCCGTGCTTCAGCTTTTCCATCTCTGAAGTAGGGTCAAGACCACTCCCCTGCTGGTTTTGTTAAAGCACAAAGAAAAGATTTCAAGAGATACCAGATATGGTCTTGACAGATTCTTCTGATACTTACAGATTTGTATGTTTCTGGATTTTAATTATCCCCGAGAATTTTTATACCCCCAATCCTCAAGCTAAAGTGTTTTTCTTTTCCCATTTTTTTTTTTAAATAACCCCTTGCAAAAGATTATTGTTCACTTATTCTAATTACCTCTCTTCACTAAGTTGCTCCCCAGTTCCACCAAGGTTTGCAGTGAAGAGCTGTTGTATTTTGATTCTCATTTCTGGATTCACACTTCCTACAGTCTGTCTTTGGACTCCTGTTAACTCTGCTGCTCGGGACCTTGCATTTCACTCCTGGTTTTCAAGGAAAATGAAAATGGGAGTAACCTTTGTTTTCTCTTTACTCTCTTTAAACTTGTTGTGTGTTTTACTTCTCAGATATCCATTGTTTTTCATTTGTAACTATAGCTCTCAACATATCCTCTCTAATAAAGGAGAAACATGCAAATTGACCATACCTTCACTACACCCACAAGCCATGCCCACCAGCCAATCAGGGCAAGTATGCAAATTAATCCAACCAAGATGGTGGTGAATTTGCATATCCAGGCCAGAGGGAAGACTGAAGACAGCTTAGAAAGAAGCCAAACATTGCAGAAGGGAGTGAAATTGCAGAGAAGCAAGCAAATGGGGCTGCGGAGAAGGGAGAGAAGTAGGCAGGGCAATGAAGACCACAGCAGGAAGCCCTATTGCAGGAATCTACCTGCAAGGGGCAGGTAGTATTTAGATAATAAGGCCTGCCCTTAGCACCTTTTGCATGATAGCCATCTTAATAGGTTTCTGGTTCAAATATTTTTATCTTGAGTAGGTATTCTGGCTTCCAACTGGACAGAATTCAGAGCCTGGGCACCAGTGTTGCTGCCTCCTAGTACTTAGGTAGTGACCCGCCAGCCTAGAGTGGAAACTCCAATCGTGAAACTGAGTTTAGAATTCCCAGCCTTCCTTCTAGCAGCAGGTGCAGGAGCTGCCTTCAGATGTTCCTATTGTTCCAAAGAACTATAAAAACTTATCCATCAACATAATTGTGCACTGTATATAGAGTGCCGAATATAAGTTATGTGTAAGAAAACTGTCATTCGTGGTCTTTGGATGGTATTACTCAAATCCCTCATGTATTTTTGTTCTTTTAAGTAGAATTCATTTTTACCTTTTAGTTTCTTTTCAACATTGAGCACATCACAGATTCCCACTGACCTTCTTGCACTTGATATCTTTATGTGATGACATGTCTTTCCCTCATTTTTATTATTTCTGGCCCTATTTTCTGACTGCCAACCAAATTCTCATTCCTGGTCTTTGGATTTTTATATCTTTGCTTCTTTTTATTCTTTATCATGTGGATCTTATTGTATGTAAGAAAAACATACCCATCACTTGTACTGCTATACCTTTTTGTGGAGAAATCTTATTATCCTATTTAGTATATCTTTAGTATAATAGTTTCAAGATTTTAGGTTCAAATACCTAATGCTGCCTACACAGATGAATTTCCCCCATCCTTGTCTAATCTCCTTTTTCTCCCATGAACCCAAATTGTCGCATTTATTTTTTTTAAATGTCTTTTTAAATATGGTATATGAAAAAACACACAGTGATTTGCTGTAAAAATAAGTTTCACAATGCAAACATGACATAACCTCCCAGCTGTTCCTCTTTTGATTTGAGCCTATCTTTGAAGCAGAAGTCCAAAATAAACAACCTACCAAATTATTTAACCATAAATTCTTATATGGGCCTTCCACTACTTCTATGCATTATATTTCCTCCTTTAATTTTCAATGGGTTCAAAATACAAAACTCCTTCAGTATTCAAATTATTCTTTTGAGTTGCTCTTTGAAGCCATACCTTATTCATCTTGTTCATATCAGTGCCTGGGACATGCAAAAATGATAAACATTAAAAAAAAATAAGGGTTTGAGTTAATGAAATTGGGAACCACACTTAGAACCACACTAGCAGTGATTTTGGCACACAGTAAGTGTGCAGTATGGATTGTTGAATGAACTGATTGAACAGTAGTGAGTGGAGTATCCTGAATTGATGCTGTGATCTGCTCCTTTGTGTTCCTAAAGCCTCTTTTCTTATTCTTTATTTTAAAACATTTGTATTTATTCTTGCTTTACCCTTCCTTAGTTCCCTTACCTCCTTGACTCTGACAATACAGGTTTATCTCTTTTCTTCTTTTACTATTAAAATGATTTCTTCTGGAAATGATTTACCTTTAAAAATATATATTCTACAGAAATGAATTTTTGTTATGCTCTGTAAAAATCACTACAGGAGTCCATACAGATTTAAAGTCTCTTTATACAATATAGCACCCAGCTTTACTTATTTCTTGAGAATTTTCTCCAATTTTGTAATATATCCCACCTCTCACTGACATCTTAAAAAAGAAGCTTTATCCTCACTCTTGTTTATCTCTTGTATTGTTATTTTCTTCCTTTTCAAACAGAAATCATGTACTGCTGCCTACCAAACATATTAATTATTTAGACTCTCATTTAAACTTTGTTTCATGTATTCTGACATCCACTTATTTAATTTTAAAATAATTTTTGTTTGAAAGGGTTTTTAAATTTGTATTTCTTTTTTATATTTATTTTTATTGTTGAAAGTATATAGATGTCCCCTTCCCTCCACCGCCCACTTACCTGCTTCACCCCCTTAGCCCCTTCCACTCACAGGCCTTCATCACACTATTGTCTTGTCAAAACCACTTGCTTTTAGAATTATTTTTTTCCTCAGTTTCAAAAGTGATATATATTCATTATAGAAAATGTAAAAATTAAAAAGAAATGTATATATGTAAATTCAAGTCAACTCTGGATGGCAAATCATTTGCCAACCAAAGATATTTCACATTTTTTTTCTGTGTGTGGATATAAATATTTATATATTTTTTAATTAAAATTATATTGTAATTTATTAGTATTCCTTTATAGTATGCTTTGGGAAAATGTTATTAAATTTATTGGGTTGACATTGTAATAAACTAATACAGGTTTGAAGCATACAGTTCTATGATACATCACTCTACACTGCATTTTGTGATCACCACCCAAAGTCAAATCTCCTGCCATCTCCATATATTTGATCCACTTTACTCTTTACTATCTCCCACTCAGCCCCCTCTTTCTCTGTAACCTCCATGCTGTTGTTGTCTATGAATTTTTGTTTGTTTTTCTTATTTGTTAATTTCATGCCTTCAAGTTTATATCCGACATATGAGTGAAATCATATGGTTCTTGACCATTTCCACATAACTTACTTCACTTAGCATGATATTCTCCAAGATCCATCCATATTGCCATAAATGACAGTATTTCCTCTTTTTGTTTGGCTGAGTAGTATTCTATTGTATATATGTACCACATCTTCTTTATTTAATCATCTATTGAAGGACATCCCCTTTGCTTCCATATCATAGCCACCATGAATAATGCTGCAAGGACCACCGGGGTACATATTATTTTTACAAATAAATGTAAAAAATATAACAAGTTAGCAGTGCACAGTTTTATGTAAAGGCAATAAAATTATGAATGGTGTTCATTTTGTTAATTTTTCTTCATTTTCAGTGCTTTCCAAACTTTCTATCTTAAGCATCATCTGTGTGTAGAGTGCTTACTAACTTCTTATTTTCCTGAATACGTACTAGTACATACTAACTTGTTATATTGGTTTGGTGTCTGACTTTTTTTTCATTTAAATTATGTTTTTTCAGTGTTCTCTATGGAAATAAAATCACAGAACTCCCGAAGAGTTTATTTGAAGGATTATTTTCCTTACAGCTACTGTAAGTATTTGATTGTTTCTGACCTGTCAAACCAAATGTTATATATTCTCAGCCTGCTATTTTGTATTTTCATGGGGCTTCTGAAAAATTCGACCCAAAATGACATAGTTTAATAAAATGGAAAAGATTCTCCTAGTGCTAACATTGTTGATGGTTACTTATTTGAAGACACAACACTTTGAAATTGTCCCCAAACCTTTCTCTCCACACTGTCACAAATATACTAGTATGCATTTTATCTGCTCTGTCATTTAATGCTTTTACAATCCCTGCCCTTTGTGAAAATTCTCTGGTTTGATTTAACAATATGTGGAAGAGAGAAAAACATAGTGATATATTTATCCACCTTTGTGCAAAGAATCTACAAGAGTGACAAGCTGGAATAACATCGCCAGCACAAGGACAGTGTGCAAGGAGACCAGAACATAGCTGTGGCACTCAAACTAATCTTAGTAAGAGATTTCTCTGTAAATCCCTGGATTATGTCTTTAAAGACCACTCTGCTTAAACAATAGTTTGTTCTCTTTTGCCTCAAAAGAACCATTTACTGTACATATTTATAAGACTAAGACAACCCCAGGTGTTTTAAGTAATGCTTATATAAAAAGGAAATTAAGGAAAAATGCTATTATTAAGATTGGCCAGCTGCTGTGGATACAAAGATGAGAGTGATGTAATTACTTTTCTCAACTAGTTCCTAGTCAGTTTACTTTACAGTTTTTAAATGTATGATTTTACTTGTATGTGGAATCTAAAGAACATTATAAATAAACAGACAAAACAGAAACAGGTTCATAGATACAGGAAACAGACTGATGGTTGACAAAGCAGAGGGGGTTTGGGAGCTGGGTGGAAAAAGTAAAGGACTGAGTACAGATTGGTAGTTACAAAACAGTCTTGGGGATATAAAGCACAGATAGGAAATGCAGTCAACGTTATTGTAATAATTATGTATGGTGCTAGTTAGGTACTGAAAATGGGGGGTGGGCATTTTATAAAGTATATGATTGTTTCACCACAATCATATACCTCAAACTGATATGAAATAATCTTGAATGTAAATGGTAATTTAAAAAATTATAATAGAGAAGTCAATATCATAAAAATAATTTAATTTGGAATGTTATTTTTTTTTCAAAGAGCAGCTGAATGGACTAGTGTCGTATGGCTTTTATTTTTTTCTTTATGGTGCCCTTGACCGCAGAGATTGGGTCTCACCTATCTACTGCATACTTCTACATCTAGACAAAATGTGTAATCACTTTTTATTGAATAAATGTATAAGTACCACTAGATTTGGTCTTTCTTTCAACTGTGTGAGCCTTGCTTTATCCGACATAACTCCAAACCTTCAATCTATGGTGCCTAAATTATTATAGTTAAAATGTCCATGTGGAGATGAAAAGAAATGTATTTCTCATTGGTTTTTTTTTTCTTTCTCAATGACGGAAACTTGAAGGTAAGTCCAGGAGGTGCTACACTTTAATCCTACGACTATTTGATCAAACAGATTGTTGAATGCCAACAAGATAAACTGCCTTCGGGTAGATGCTTTCCAGGACCTGCACAACCTGAACCTTCTCTCCTTGTACGACAACAAACTCCAGACCATCGCCAAGGGGACCTTCTCGCCTCTCCGGGCCATTCAGACTATGTATGTAAATTGTGGTTTTGTATCATATTTGATGACCCTTGTTTTCACTTTAAACTGGGGAGTTGATTTGTTTGCAAGTCATGCCTAAAAGTGTTCTGTGTGTGTTTCCGAAAGGCATTTGGCCCAAAACCCCTTTATTTGTGACTGCCATCTCAAGTGGCTCGCGGATTATCTCCACACCAACCCCATCGAGACCAGCGGTGCCCGCTGCACCAGCCCCCGGCGTCTGGCAAACAAAAGAATCGGACAGATCAAAAGCAAGAAATTCCGTTGTTCAGGTAATTTCTGACCTCATGTGGCATGCCCCCTGTGTCACCAACTACAGTGGTTACGGGACACCCAGAGACAGCTGGTTTTTGGCTGAATTACCCAATGTTGTAGAATCATGTGTCTTTGTTTTTTATACTTATAGAAAAAAAAAATAGAACTGTAAACACAATTCAGATAGTCCTCCTATGTGTACCATTTTTTAACACTAGATGAAGCAGACGAAACAGGCTGCTGGCCCAGAGAAAAAGATGCATGGCCACTCCATACTGTATCCCCAGGGTCCGTACTGAACCGGGACCTCTTAGTTAACTCTCAGAGCCTTTGAAGCCTGTTAAGTCTCATGTTTGTTGTAGTATTCTCCATCGAGGAACCCCAGGTAATTAATCATGTTTTCATTGCTTCAGGAAATGAACTGAGACTTGCTCACATGATTTGCTCAGGCTCGGAAGTAGGGGGAAGTCTCCTGATCCCTTACTGGATACTGCCTTCTCATTTTGCATTCTCTTATTTTGAATAGGACTATAAAGATACATTTTTCCAAAAAAAAAAATGCAACCTTTTAAAATGTTAGGAATATTACATTTATTGATAGAAAGCTAACTCTAGATGCATTGTATTAATATTAAATAGAAAGCTTACTGCATTGAAACTTGCTATTTGCTTTGGTCTAATCTTTTCTGTTTTCTTATGATAAAACTAGAGGCCTGGTGCACAAATTTGGGCACAGGTGGGTCCAGCTGGCCCGCTCCAATTGGGGCCAATCAGGGGGAAAGGGACGCGGGAGGTTGGTGAGCTGAAACCTTCCCCCTCCCCTCGTCGAACTCCCTGTCAAGGGGACAATTTGCATGTTAGCGTTTTATTGTATAGGATACATTCTATATGTTTTGAGTAGTATGCTACCCTACCCAGGCATAGTTCACATCTGGCAAGTTAATTCATACTAAAAAGCTAATATCCAGACAAAGCTGGTTGTTGCCTATGGTTCTAGATGTGTTTACTACTCACTGTACGTTATTATACTTCAGCCCCTGCTGAAAATGTACATTTTCACCTAATTAACTGTAGTAACTTTAGTCCATTCTTAATCTAATATAACTCATATCTCTGCTTGCTGACATTCAGGTACGTCTATTTTTTGTCTCTTTTTTTTATTTAGCTAAAGAGCAGTATTTCATTCCAGGTAGGTTTTGCTCGGTAGTAGGACTAACTACAGACACCCTTTCCTCACCTTAAAAAATATAGCTTCTAAAACTTTGATATGCATGCTTTTGGAAGTACAGTGGGTGCTGTGTAGATAGATGTACTCTGCATAGATCACTTGTAGCTGTTACCCAAACACCTGACCTTTGCATGCAGCATCTGATGTTAAATATAGATATTCTTAAGCACCCACCTTTTATTCCCCCTCTCCCTCACTTTGGAACATTACCTAAAATTTCTCACAGTAACTAAAATGTTTGAACCTATGGCCTTCTACTTAAACCATATTCTCTCCTTACATTGAATATCTGATCTTTCAACCTGTTTTTAAAATGTAGCTTGTCGAGCTGGTTTTAAAGACAGAGACTCCCTTGAATGGTCAAAGAGCTAGTTCCACGTGAAATCAGCTACCAACACACAGAATTGTGGTTTTCAGTCATGGGATTTGTCTTTTTATTGTTCTTATAGTAGACAACTGTTACTTTTTTGCTTGACTTTGCTCACTGTTGCTTCACTTTTTATGCAAAACCAGCAGCTTCCTGCTGACTGAAATGCATTTACACTGTCTCTGTGACTTCACATCCTTGCACACCTGGGGTCACAGTTTAACTCCACAAAAGCAACATTAACAGCATCCTGAAAGCAAGTTCATGGGCGCTGAGTGCCTTGAATAATTTAGGCTGATGAATGAATGATGAAATGTGCTTGGAAAAGTAATTGAAATGTTTTACCACTACAATCCTAGCAGAATCAAGGCTGAGGATTCTAGAACTAGCTCTTTGAAATATGTTCTTATTTTTTCCTTGCCTGCCAACTGTGTAAAATGCCTCCTGACTTTTTTTTTTATGCTTATATTAAAAAATGTATGTTAACTAGTGATTGATTGGCCATGTCCTGGGTATATTCTAGACTATAATGTATTTTAGCATCTATAAATAAAAATATATTATGTAATGTTAAAGTGCAAAAGCATATCTTTTTTTTTAATAATTCTGGGTTTTGTCTCTCTTTTAAGGAGATAGATATTGCTTGCCATTATTGATTATGGTTTGAATAATATTATGCATTTAACAGATTTTGTTTTATTATTTTGAGCTTGAATGATCAATCATATTTTATATATTACACTGGCTGCATAAAAAGAAATATGTTGAATAGAGGTTGATTGGATTTCACTGGCAATCTTTAAAATTCATTATTTTTACCTAATTTTTAAGTAGAAAGTCATCTGAAAACTATTACTTACCCAGAAAAAGTTATATTCTAAACACCTTTGGGATAAAACATTTATATTACTTAAATCCCCAAATTATAGCAGTTACTATCATTTTGCCAAATTATTTAATCTATTATATTTTAATATACTTCATTACTTACTACTACACTAAATATATTTTAAATATTTATTTTATTACATAATATGTTATTTTAACCCAGGTATATGCCCTTGACCAGAATCAAAACTGGGACCCTTCAATCCACAAGCCAACACTATCCACTGAGCCAAACCAGTGAGGGTTATTCTAAATATAATTCATTAAGAATTTATAAATTAATATGTCATTTTAGCAAATAAAGAACAAAAGTCAGTTTCAATAAATTCAGATACATTTTTGCCCTTAATTGACAGCAGCCAAAATAGGATTTGGAGAATACTTTCTCTATCAGATATTACAACTTAATTGTCAATATCTGATCATTTAATTTGCATTATTTAAAATAATAATTATAGAATTTAGATCTCAGAAGAATACTTTTTCCCAGCTTTTCATTAAAATTTGAGCCATAAAATAAGAACCACTGTCATTGTATTGAAGGTGGATTATCTTTATTTATTTTTATTTTTTTAATATATTTTCATTAATTTTTTTTATAGAGAGGAAGAAAGAGGGATAGAGAGTTAGAAACATCAATGAGAGAGACACACTGATCAGCTGTCTCCCGCACACCCCCTACCTGGGATGTGCCTGCAACCAAGGTACATGCCCTTGACCAGAATCGACCCTAGGACCTTTCAGTCCGCAGTCTGACGCTCTGTCTACTGAGCCAAACCGGTTTTGGCAAAGGTGGATTATTTTTAATGTCAGATACCTATTGTGCCTTTATTTAGACTTTGTTCCCAGTGTTTTCTGATTTTAATTTTAAAACAAAAGCTTCAACCACAGTACAACGGATTTTCAATAAATGTCCTGGCATTCATTTCCAAGTGTAATGAAACTTTTATCTGATTTCCTTTTAACTGAATGACATTATTTATAAATTGGAAAGGGCATTCAAAAACATGGAAGCCACGATCTAAGGATAAATGCAAACGTGCTCATGATAGTCCTTGAAGCTCTCCATGATTCATTGCTCACTTAATTTCACGTGTTTACTTGCCTACCACTGTTCTGCCTGGCATTCCTAGATATGACCATGATAACTCAAAAGAAAATCTATCTTGCAGAGAATTCATCTTTTCAAGGAATTGACAAGGGCTTAATTTGTGCTATGCATCTTGGATGCCGTTGCTTTTCCTACAAGATCCCTTTGCCTCCAAAAGTTATTAGAAAAGTTTACAAAGCACGTGCCATTCCCCGATCATTGCCACAGTAAGAAAAGAAGAAAGAAAACTCAGTTAGTGGTATATATATTCTCCTATTAACCTTAACAGGGATTACTGTCTTTCTTTCCTTCTTGGTGATTTTTAATTTTGCAGGAGTTCACCATTTGGGCTGTAAGTAAAAGTGTCTGATCTGAAACATACCCTCCTCCCTTTTCAGTCCTGATGTACCTTCTAGTCTCAGTCTTTTGTGCCCTTTCTCCTCCCCTCTCCTCCCGCCGAAGAAGAAACCACAGATCTTTTGAGCTTCTCTGTTGTCCTTGTAGCTCACGTCCCATGTCCCACTTCGTCCTGGATATGGATCTCGAAAGCTGTTGATTCCGTCCTGCAACCCTGAGGGATGGGGGAGGTGGCCTCTGTGTAGCCCCTTTGTGTTTCAAGGAACCTCAGTAGTAAGGCTGTCACCGTGGTCATAGACCTGCTGTGGGAGGACTGCATGTCACGTGCACAGCACAACACCTCCAGAATGTCTGTAGCTTCTCTCCTGCTTCCCTTCATCTTTCCTCTCCGTCTTACCCCTGGCCTAGTGGATGGTGTAGTGATGATGTAGCGAGATTTTCTGTTGTGCTTGATCTAACCATGTGGTTGCCAGGTATGAGTAAAACATGGTTCCGTCAAGCACCATGGAACGTCACGCAGCTTTCTACAGCATGGCAAGCTGCTGAGGCTTAAATCAGGATTGACTGGTCTCTCTTGATAAAATCAAAATGCAAAATAAAATAAAATAGAGGGCCTTGGAGGCATTTCTGAAGAGTATGTGAGAGGGAGAGAATAATCAAAGACCTTAGAAAAAATAAAAACCTGAGTACGTCTATTTGCCTGGAAAGCCCTAATTTTAAAATGCTATATTAGGGAGATGTGGATGACTGGATGACAGTTTAAATTCTTGACTCTGAGAAAAAAAAATCTGTTTAACAATGAATGGCCATTGTGTGCTTAGCTGTCAAATAGGCTGGAATGGCTCAGAACCGGATCAGCAGACAGTACCGCTGTGAAAAGCTCATCTCTATTAATGTTTTCCTGTCCTGTGATTCTAGTTACTCTTTTTTTTTTCCAGCAAATTCCAAACCCTTGTTTTAACCCTCTCCTGACATCCATTGACCAAATCCCCCAATTTGTCTCCCTGATGCATAATCTCTAGTTATCTTCCTTTTTTCCTCCTACAAATTAACAAGCATCCTGACCTTTAGACTCAGTGTCTCTTTTATTTTATTTTTCTTGGCTTGACTCCTCCATAGGTACAGAAGATTATCGATCAAAGTTAAGCGGGGACTGCTTTGCAGACTTGGCTTGCCCTGAAAAGTGCCGCTGCGAAGGGACCACGGTCGATTGCTCCAATCAAAAGCTTACCAAGATCCCAGACCACATTCCCCAGTACACTGCGGAACTGTAAGTCCCTCTCCCCTAAAACCCCAGACCACACTCCCAGTACACACTCCCACTACACATACACTGCAGAACTGTAATCCCCTTTTCTACAGAATTTAGGTTAGGATGGAGGAAACAAAAACTTCAAAATAGTGGGATTTTTGTCTTTTCCTTTTATTCTCAATAATTACATTGATCTTTGTTAATACACATTTGTATAACATAATCCTCACCTGAGGATATGTTTATTGATTTTAGAGAGAGAGAGAGAGATGAAGTGAGACAGAGAAAGAGAGAAATATTGGTGTGAGAGAGAGAAACATCCATCAGTTGCTCCCTATATGAGCCATGCATGACCGGGGATCAAACCTGCAACTTAGGCCCTGCCTGGGAATCTACTCCATGATCTTTTGGTATATGGGATGATACTCCAAGTAACTGAGTCACCCAGCCAGAGCCAAGAATATTTTAGAGGCTATCTTACCTCTTCTTTCTGGCCCAAGATATAATTACAGAAATTAACTTACTTCTCAAAAATTCAGCTAGTACCTAGTAATACTACTAATCATAACATTCACTTGATATTTAATTCTTAAGCATTATTTATGCCCAAACCCATTTCTAAACAATGCATAGATGTTTTGCATATTTAGCCTTTACAGCAACCATATAGAGTAGTTTGACTGTTCATTATGAATTGAAGAAGATAGTCTTTTTTTATCTGCTTTATCTCCCTGACTCATGGCTGGAAGGATTCAGTGATTATGAGGTATTAAAACACAAAGGGTAGCATAGTGGAGAAAAGCTGAAAAGACAGAGTGTGATCAGATTTATATATATCGCCCTAACAAAGGGCCTGGCACACGCTTGTTGCTAAAATATGTTCGTGAATCATTTATAGGTACTACGCCGTGGACGTTTTGCCTTTACTGACTTTTCGAAGTGAGACATTTAATGTTAGTGTTCTAAAAAAAAACAGGAAAAGCCTGGTGAAATCTCATCATTTTCTGCACATCGTAGCCATGTTTATATGTAGCACCATCTGCTATCTGTCATTATCCACTTTGCATAGTTGCTTGTCTTTCTGTGCATGCATAATCCTTTTGTCTTCAACAAGATTAGGGCCCCTCAATGGCAGGAATTGCGTTTTATAGTTGATTTCCCACTGTGTCTATACTCGTGCCTGTTACTTAATGAATTTTGAGCAATTGGAATAATTAAAAATAATGTAACGCTTTCAGAGAGATGACAGAAACTAGCTCCCTGTGATGACAGCGGTGCTTATGAATTCCTGGTAGTTTATTAAGCTATTCCGTAGCTCCGTGACTTCTAGAAAGGCATGGAGACCTTGCAGCCAAAGCCCTGAATTCTATTTGTACAATCATGTTGGGAGCTGTGCTTATTGCCAATAAGACTACAAACAGTAAATCCAAATCCCATCTTCCAACATGAGAATGTGTTAAGGAGGCTTACTATCAATCAAGAACTGTATTAGAAGCAGCATCTAATTGTTCTTTTCCAACAGGAGCTGTATATATCTTAAAAATTAATAATTTTTTAAAATTATACATTTAAAAATTAGCACCTCAAAGAAAATATTTTCAAACATATATACTATGATAAAAGACTTCTATCCAGAATGAATAAGGAATTCTTACAACTTAACCATAAAATTAAGAAATAAAAATATATATTATCCAATTAAAAAGTAGTCAATTACTTGTATGGACATTTCTCCAAAGAAGATATATAAATGGCCAATAGGCACATGAAAAAATGCTCAGTATCAGTAGACATTAGGGAAATACAAATCAAAAACCACAAAGCGGTAACACTTCATACCCACTAGAATGGCCATTAAAACAAATACAAAAAAATAACAATAATAAGTGAGAGAAATAGGTCTCCTCATACAATGCTGCTTGGACTGTAAAATAATGCAGGCTCTTTGGAAAAAAAAGTTTGGCTATTTCTCAGTTATACCTCAATTTCCCATGTGACCCAGCAATTTCTCACAGATGTAAGAACTGAAAATATATGTCCACAGAAAAATTTGTGTTCTGATGTTCAGAGCAGCATTATTTATAACTAGAGGCCTGGTGCATGAAAATTCATGTACTGGAGGGGAGGGTCTCTTAGCCTGGCCTGCCCCCTCTCACAATCCAGGAGCCCTCAGGAGCAGGAGGCAACCTGGTGATCAGGGGAAGGCTACACCCCATCACACCTCTGCTTCTGCCACTGCCAGCAAATGCAAGCCTCAGCTGGCCCTGGTTACCTGTGCCTTGGGCCAGCCCTGGAAAGCTGGGCAGCCGCCATCCAAGGCCCTGGGTGGCTAGGGTCTGAGGGGACTAGGGGATTCCAAAGGAAGGCGTGAGGCAAGGCTGGGCATGCCACCCCAGTGGGGCTGAGGGGACTGGGTGCTGCCATATTGTGGCTGTGGGCACTGCTGTCTTTGAGGGTGTGGCAGTCAATTAACATATTCCCTCCTTATTGGTTGTGGGAGATACCATCTTTGAGGGCAAGGTAGTCAATTAGCATATATCCTCCTTATTGGCTGTCTGGCTGTCCACATTGCCATCTTTATTAGATAAGATAATCTAAAAGTGGAAGCAACCCCAATCTCCATTCACTGATAAATGAATAAACTTAATGTGGTATATCCATACTATAGAGGAGTATTTGGCCTTAAAAAGGAATGAAGTATTTATAAATGTTAAACTTGGATGAACCTTGTAAACATTATTCAAAGTAAAATACACACACACACACAAGGCCGCATTTAGTATGATTCCATTTATATAGAATGACCAGAATGGGAAAATCCATGGAAACAGAAAGTAAATTAGTGGTGGCAAAGAACTGAGGTAGCATGGGAACAAACTGAAGGTGACTACTAATGGGTATGAGATTTCTTTTTTGGGTGATGAATATATTCTGGAATTAAGTAGCAAAAAATGGTGTCACAATTTTGTGAATATACTAAACACCACTGAATTATATACTTCAAAAGGGTGAACTTCGTGGCATATACATTGTATAACACTAAAGCCTTTAAATAAAATTTTAAAATTATGGAACAAATGATTAAGAAAAAATGACCTAATATGTTTTCTTAGAGATGGGATGGTAAAAATGAAGCTTATGATATGAGAGCTTAATCTGATTTTCAATTATTGGCTTTCTCCGCTATGTGCTTCTTATATATTTCATTTTGATCATTAAAATCTGAGTGAAATTGGGGGGGGGGGGAGGGGGAGAATTCAGGACAGTTGGCCTTCCATAGTCTTGGGTTCTACATCTGCAAATTTAAACAACCTTAGATCGAAAGTATTTTTTAAAAGTTACTTTGCTGTTGACATGTCCTACTCCTACATAGTTAGGCCTACAATGGTGGCCTGTACTGAAGGTGAAGCATCTACAGGCACATTTCCTTGTTATTATTCTCTAAACAATACAACAGAACATCTATATATGTAGCATTAGAATTGTATAAGGTATTATAAGTAATCTAGAGATGATTTAACATAATCAGGAAGATGTGTGTAAGTTATATGCACATACCTCATCATTTTATATAAGGGACTGGAGCACCCATGGATTTTGGTATGTGACAAGGTCCTGGAACCAATCCTCCATGGACATTTGAGGGCATGAGAGCATTTCCTACAGATCTTACGTGATAAGTGTCCTATAGTTTCCTTCAGACTCATCATTAAATAATGGTATCCCTCTGTATGAGAAATAAAACGCAACCCCTTCCTTACCCTTGGTGTTGAAATGTTTCTCTTTCTCTTTCCCTAGGCGTCTCAATAATAATGAATTCACCGTGTTAGAAGCTACTGGAATCTTCAAGAAACTTCCTCAGTTACGCAAAATGTAAGCTGTGCATTAGCCATGGTTGTGAACTTCTGTTGAGTTTTGTTGCGTTTTCCCCACCCCTTGGCAGTTCTATTTTGATTTCTTTGGAAATTGGAAAATATGAAAAAAAAAAATCCAGAAAAATGTTCCTAAAATGACTACCTGTGGCACAAATTGAAGGTCATCTCTGAGGGGAACCAGAGTCATTGGCATTTTTCTGTATATCCCAATGATGCCAGCTCCATTGCCCTAGCAGAGCAGTGGCGTCTTTCTGTAGCTCAGACAGCTGGTCTGTTGTGGGCCCAAGGCAGGATCCTGCATCTAAACACATGGGGCGGGGGTGAGGCAGTCATGTGTTGTAACTTCCTGTGCTATTCCCCACACGTGCTGTTATTTCTCTTTCAGCACTTCCATGTCAACTATTTGACTTTTTGCTTCATTAAACTTTCATTAGGAGATAGTCAAAATTAATAATTGCTAAACTGGCTTAATAGCTCATCTGTGTGACTACATATCTACAACTCATATTTCAAAATAATTTTCTCAGCTCAGCAGTTTCAGCAACATTCAAAACAGTACTCAACCCCCCTGAGAATGGGGGGGGAGGGAGCCTCCCAATATGAGAGAGGGAAGGAGCATTCTTTCATGATACCCATGCTTTTATATATGTGACCTGCCCACAGTCACATAGACTGTGAGAGGCAGAGAGGACTAAAACTACTTTTGTGCGCTGGACTCCCACGTTATATACTGCCCCCCAAAGAGTTTCTACTTACTTAGTTGTCCTCCTTTCTCTCTGACATGAACTGCTCTTTTATTGTTGTTTAGCTATAATGTTCCCTTTTATACAGTGTATATTTATTGAGAACTACTGTGGGCAGTATTCTGAGAGGTATAAAATGATTCGTAAAAATGACCCTTGTTCTGTGGACATTCCTGGTATGTAATGAGCAGTGAGAAAGAGAAAGAGGGAACGTATAGAAAGATGTTGACTCAAATGGATGACAGGCAACACATTGTAGTCTTTCCTATCACACACAATTCTGACAGTGAAGTTGGTTGTTTTGATCCATTTTTACATGAGAAGTTTCACTGGGAACAAACTTATATTTGGATATATCTCTGACCTCTCATGCTATATAAATGCTGGCATATTTAGTCCATCCTCCTTTTTACTCAGTTGCCTTCTTTTAGTCATTAATTCATTCAACACTTCTTAATCAAGGGCATTTCTTTGAAAAATTCCTTATTAAGTTTTGTGGAAAACAAAAGTTTATTCAACTCAATACCTGGCCTCAAGAATTGTATGCTCCTAGAGACCCATTCAGATCATGTTGACAATGACCAGGCTGGTATTTTTCACCATAAACATTACCCCTCAGAAGTGGTATGGTTTTGGCTTGGTGGAACCCTGAAGCGGTGTCCCTTCAGAGCCCTGGGCAGAGCCAAGATTGGAGAGACTGTTCAGTATGAGAAAATGCTCAAACATGTCTCAGTGCCCTCACTGTGAGAAAGAGATCATGTAAAACCTGTGTTTCAATGCTTTTTATTTAGAAACTTTAGCAACAATAAGATTACAGACATCGAAGAGGGAGCTTTCGAAGGAGCATCTGGTGTAAATGAAATACTTCTCACGAGTAATCGTTTGGAAAATGTGCAGCATAAGATGTTCAAGGGATTGGAAAGCCTCAAAACATTGTAAGTATTCTCATCTCATTGTGATTCTTCTGCAGGATTGTACTTCTTGGTCATTACAATCCTGGGAAAGGATGGGGATTCCATTATTTCTTGTTGCACCAGCTACCTTTCTCTCTCTCTCTCTCTCTCTCTCTCTCTCTCTCTCTCTCTCTCTCTCTCTCTCTCTCTCTCACACACACACACACACACAGGTTTGTGGATGCAGATCTGTCTGATTCTCTAATACCCTGACTTCAGCATGTTGCCTTCAAAAGAGCAAAAGGGTCTCTCCTGGCTATGATTCTACAACAAGAAGGCCTTTGCTACACTCTTTATGGGGCTTTGGCTCCTCTGATCAGCCTCAGAACAGGGGTTCTTCTTCCTTTTCCTCAAATACCTCCTCTAAGACTCTGTCTTGGACCCAGGTCCCTGGCTTTAGCATCTGCTCCAACCCCCTGACAGAATATCCTTTGACCTGGGGAACACCCCTGACTGTCCTGCAAGGTTTTAGTGCAAAAGACATTGACTGATGTTGGGACTTTTACTACCAGTTTCAAAGCAAACACGCCCCCAGATTGTGAGATTGGGGAAAAGAAATTTCTGTATGTTTCTGAAAGGTTGCTGGCCAAGAAGGATGGAATTGGATTAATTCCTAAGGACAACGCTCTGAGTTATTTGAATTTCTACAGAGCACGTGTGTACTTTTTATTATCTCAAAATATGCAATTATGTTTGACAAAAATGGTGGCCTGAACATTTTGAGAGACACAAAGCAAACTTCGAAAACAGCAGGAAACTCTTTGTCACCCAGCTGCAGCCCTTGGCAATAGCAGTGGAGAGAGGTACCAACTCCACTGTCTTCCCTAAATTCTCTCCTCTCCCATAGCCCTAGAGCCACAGCCAAGGCCCTGAGTGCTTGGAAGTCCAGGACCTGCTCTTTATCATAGGCAGAGAGCTTCCCTCCAGTTAGTGGGGATATTACTAGCATCTCAGCTTCAAATCCTGCTGAACAGCCTCTGCCCAGGGAAGTAGAAATGTGTTCCTTGAGGAACAACCTGGAACCTAACCATCCGGCAGGACACAGATGCCACCTGCTGACCTTTCTGGTGGGCAATGTGGAGCTCCTTCAAGATGTTATGCAAATATTCAAATATTGCTTCAGCCTTTTATGAGTGTGTAGAAGAAGGCAGAAAAGTTATACCATGGGTGGCTGCATCTACTCCTCCCCCACTCCCCATCCCCAAGTTGTCTTAGGTAACTCAGCAAAACCTAGATCCTGCAACAAGCAGAATTCTTCCTTCTGAGACAGTAGTCGAGGGACTCCTTGTCATTGGAACCTTCTCCTTGAATGGGCAGCAGAAGGGGCAGGAACTGTACCTCCAGCTGCATTGGTCTGCCCTGGGCTGCCTTCATGAGAAACCATGCCTGATGACTTAAACAACAGGAATTTGTTTTCTCACAGTTCTGGAAGTCCAAGGTCAATGTGCTGAGAGAGTTGGTTTCTGGCCAGGGCTCTTTTGTTGGCTTTTAGATTGCCATCTTTTCATTGTGATTTATTGACCTTCCCTCCGTGTCCCTTTCTCTTACAAGGACTCCATTCCTATCTTATTAGGGCCTCGCCTATAAGATCTCATTTAATCTTATCTATCTCCCTAGAAGCCCTATTTCCAATGCAATCACATTGGATATCAGGGCTTCAACATATAAATTTTAGAGGAACACAGCTCCATTCATAACAAAGCATTTCTTGGAACTAGTTTCACTCACAGGATTCATCTTTCTCCTTCATTATGTTTCTAGCCCTGTTTTTGTGCCTCTTAAATTTTGGCACCTCAGCCAGACAACCAATTGGCTCACTACTTAATCCCACTGTATCTCCATGAACTTAATGGAGCATTCAGAGTCAAGCTTGGGATAGACACAGGCCTCAAGCAGGTTTATCTGCACCTTATATTCTGCTCAGTGGTAACTTTCAGTTTGGAGTTATAAAGGTTTTTGCAAGACACCCTTTTGCGCCCTCCTCCCCGCCACCGAGTACTTAACCCTTCAGTACTACTAAACCTCTTAACAGTCCATGTCCATATTTCAGTGAGTCTTGGTTTGAATCCTCATGCACAGGTAAAATGTGGTAGGGATTTTTGTAGTGACAGAAAGCAAAGTTTTCTTTCACTCCTTCCAGGCGTTCCTCACTCCAACAAGATTGAGACCAAGTGTTCTTTCTTCTTTATGGTGAAGGGTAGTGCTAATAGAAATAACTTCTGTTGTGCCTTTGTGCCATAGCATAAAATGAATGATGTCTTCATTAGAGTACAATTCCAGAGCAATCTTCAGAGTGATCAATTCATGTTTAGAAAAATTAAAAGAGAAAAAAAATGAACTTTTCAGCATTTCTGAGTAAGACTTATGGCAATGATTCCTTTTAATGTGGGGATTTTAGAAACTTTCTGTAATTTTTCTAAGCACCACAAATAATCAGTTTGGGGGGGGGGGGGATCAAGAACAGAGCCAAAACTTGAGTACAGTATTAATTCTGTTAATGGGAATGCCTTAAAAAAAAAAAAGTCAGAATTATTTAAAGAGAAGACCCATTTCAATTTCACTGAACACCTGGGGTCTTTATTGCTTCCTTTAAGTTCTGGCCTTAAAACAATGAAACAGTTTTTATAATTAAAATTATGTGTGCAAGCTCTGTGGATGTTCAGTCAAGTTTGATTCCTCCCCACTGATGTTGACAGTGACTTGGCCTGTGAATCCTTGAGATGCCCTTAGTCCTTCATCTGCTGTGGTTATTGATTCTGTTCTGCCTCCTTTTTGTTCAACCTTCAATGCAGTATTGCAGTGAATACACAGATCCCAGGGCCGTAGGGGCTTAGAGAGCTGGAGGTGCCTTATGACGTTATGTAATCAGGCAAACAAAGTGATGACATCCAGGGACACATCCTATCCTCATCAGGTGCAGCTGGAAATCCACACTGAGGCTCACCTTGCTGCTTGTAACTGAGTGCAATCATTGTTTTCTTTTTGCACAAGGCTCTTAGTACATAGCCATGGAGATTCCTAATGACGAGACAACATTCAGAAAACAGTCCTGACTGCTACAGATTTGCAAAGAAGGATTTTCTTGGTCCTCAAATAGGCAAAAGTGATTGCCTGGTGCTTTATCTCCATAACAATGTTCTCCTTTTCCCCCTCAGGATGTTGAGAAGTAATCGCATCAGCTGTGTGGGGAATGACAGCTTCATAGGGCTGAGTTCTGTGCGGCTGCTTTCCTTATATGATAATCAAATCACTACGATTGCGCCAGGGGCTTTTGACACTCTCCATTCCTTATCTACTCTGTGAGTATGAAAAACAGTCTTCATTTGTGTATTAAGTGGGCCTCTGTGTTACATTTATTACTTTCATTGATAGCACTTGAATGCACTGTTAGGAATTTCATAAAAATGTGATCAAGGATTAAGTGGTGGTGGTGTTTTGTTTTTTAAGACAAATTTCTTCATGTTAAACTTACTTTAACTTTCTCTAAAAAGATTACCAACTATCTTATATGAAAATATAACCAAGATCATAATATTGTTCAATCTTTTTTTTAATAATAATGTGCTGAGGCATCATTTAGACATTTTAATTTTATTATAACCTGACTGTGCTGCAAGCAAAGGAAATGTTGTAGATTTCCCCAAGTGTTCCTGTGTGGGCATCTCTTCCATATAAGTATCATCCAAACAGAGTTGATAGGGTCGTTTCCACCACCTAAAGCTCAAGGGCCATTCTCAGTCACAGGGGCTGCATCGGGGTGACCTGACCAGCAAGAAGGGCTGTTCACTAAAGGGCATTGACTGTGACATTAGAAAAATATTAAAGAAATTGGTTCAGCTTTTCCAGAAGGATATTTTATGTACATTAGTTCTAGACACAGAACTCAGAAAGTGTCAAATGCATAGACACACACACACACACACACACACACACACACACAGCTCCAAACAATGCATTGCAGGCATATTGCATATCTGTATCTAAGAAGCAGTGTTTGGAAAATATAAATCTGACAAATCAAATCAGATGACCCAGTAATGGTGATATACCAGTCTAACTTTAAAGGTAGTTAGAAAGAACAAAAAAAGAAGGGGGTTGGGGGGACAAGCATGTTTAACATAGCTCAAGTCTCTAGAGAAATAATTTGAAGAAGGCATACCTCCATCAGGAAAGTACTTAATCCCCTTCCCACATAAAATGTGACATTTTACATGGAGTGACTAATTTGTGCATATTAAACATGGCATGTTTATAAATAATGGGATCGTCAACAGGGTTGTGCTGAAGTGGTGAGATGCCCAAAGCACAGAGATTTGTAGAAGGGAATTCATTTTTATAACTGGCATTTAATCAACTCAGCTGTCAGCTTCGATGGGAAACCTATTCTCTTGAGAAAATAAAAAATGGAAATCTTGAAATGACAAATTAATGAAATAGCTGTTGTCAGGTTAAACTCAATAATATTAGGTAATCAGCCTTCATCTTTATATTAAGTCACTGCATTATCAGGGCAGGGGAGTCTGACAGCAGCTCAGACATCAGACAAGTTTAAAGGATCTCTTAATGAGCCATCCCTCAGGATCTACTGCATAAGCCCTAAATTGCTGCTTTCACTTTATTTTGCCACATGTAATTACTTGAAAGAATTCTGTATATGAAAGTCTTGTGATTTTGTAAATTTTACACATAGATACTTTAGCAAAAAAAAAAAAAAAAAAAAAAAAAGTGCATCCCGTATATTGTGATGGGCCTGGAGGGGAATCCTATCTAATAAAAGAATAATACCGTATTTTCCGGCATATAAGACAACCCCCTAATTTTACAGTTAAAACATAGGTTTAGGCTTATATTCACTGTATAAGACTACCCCCCACTTCAAAGAAAAGACTTACTTTGCCATCAAGATCTGCAGGTAATTTTTGTGCAATTTTGGTCTTTTGCCCCCGATTTTCGGTTGACGTTTTTTTGTTTCGAAAGTCATCTTATACGCCGGAAAATACGGTATGCAGATTGACCATCACTCCAACACACAATATGGCTGCCCCCATGTGGTAAAAGATCCTGCCCCTATGTGGACACAAGATGGCTACCACAAGACAGCCAGTAAGGGAGGGCAGTTGGGAGGCACTAGGCCTGCAAGGGGGGGGGGGGCAGTTGAGAGGAACCAGGCAAGCAGGGGAGGGCAGTTGGAAGTGATCAGCCCTGCAGGGGAGGGCAGTTAGGGGTGACCAGGCCAGCAGAGAAGGGAAGTTGGGGGCAAACAGGCTGGCAGGGTAGCAGTTAGGCATCAATCAGTCTGGCAGCAAAGTGGTTAGGGGGTGATCAAGCTGGCAGGCAGAAGATATTAGAAGCATTCAGGAAGGCAGGCAGGCAAGCAGTTGGAGCCAGCAGTCCTGGATTGTGAGAGGGATGTTCAACTGTTCGTTTAGGGTGTCCAACTGGTATAGGGTCTAAACAGGCAGTCAGGCATCCCTCAAGGGGTCCCAGATTGGAGAGGGTGCAGGCTGGGCTGAGGGACACCCCCCCCCTCCGTGCTCAAATTTCATGCACTGGGCTTCTAGTATGAAACATAAGGAACCATTTCAGCAGAAATTGTATGGGAAATGCTAGCATGGGGTTTGGAGAAATAGAGGTGAAACCCTGACTGAACTCCACTCTGTATTGCTTGCATGTGGTGCTTAGAAACCTTTTGGCCAATCCTTTCAACTGTAACTGCCACCTGGCATGGTTGGGAGAATGGCTCCGGAAGAAAAGAATTGTAACGGGCAACCCTCGCTGCCAGAAACCCTACTTCCTCAAAGAGATCCCCATCCAGGATGTGGCTATCCAAGACTTCACCTGTGATGACGGTAAGAGCCCAACCTGTGGTCCCCAGGTGTCCAGGGGACCATGCAGATGCTAAGGGTACAGCTGACCCCAGGAACTGTCCAAAGACAGTCCTTGTGCATCTTTCGTTACTCTGTTATGTTTTAGCCAGAGAACATTTCCTTTCTCAGAGGGCACCTTCCTATCCAAATCTACTTTGTGCTTTTGAAGGCTGTAGATTTTCCAATTTCCAACAGGCAACTGATACTGTTTTTATAGCTTCCTGTTAACATTTCTTTATTACCCTAAGTATCTCTTCTAGCAGCTATCATTTCCAAATGAGAAAAGCAATTGGCTTCTCAAATAGAAATGCTAGTGAGTCCAATAAAAGTAACAGTTTTCTCTTTTTCATGCACTCTATGTATCATGGCATTTTATTAGAGTAACCCTGTCAGCAGGCGAAACAGGTTCTGTAATTGTTGCCAGTGAGTGCAGAACTTATTTGAGCTCTTACTTTAATATGAGGGACCCTGCATGGCCAATGTGGCTCAGTGGTTGAACTTTGACCTATAAACCAGAAGATCAGTGTTGAATCCCAGTCAGGGCACATGGCCAGGGATGCAGGAGGCAGCTGATCAATGATTCTCTCTCATCATTGATGTTTCTATCTCTCCCTCTCTCTCCCTTCCATTCAGAAATCAATAAAAAAAATATATATTTTTTAAAAGAGGGACCCACACCATTTTTACAAAACATTTGAAGTAACTCTGTCCCTTCATTGTCTCTTCACATCTGTCTCCTTAATTCAGTTAACACATACGTTCTAATTAAAAGTGTCATCTATATAAATAACTGCACAAAGACAGGAACTATTATCATGGGATTGATGATACCCATTGGACGTTATTTTCTGGAACTCTGCCCTGGGCTGTGTGGAAATGGAGCTGTATGAAACGTATGGTGTCTATAAACCCTCACTGCCCTCCACATCAGGGATCATGTGGCCTGAGATGGGTGCTCGTTGTGTGAATTTAAAGCCATAAAACCATTCCCAACCTCTTCAAAGCTGCAAACCTGGGTTTCCCTGTATGTCTTTTGGCAAAATTTAGGAAACGATGACAATAGCTGTTCCCCGCTGTCCCGCTGTCCCGCCGAGTGCACCTGCCTGGATACAGTGGTTCGATGTAGCAACAAGGGCTTGAAGGGTCTGCCCAAAGGGATCCCAAAAGATGTCACTGAATTGTAAGTAAAGCTTTCTTTTGCAAATAATTATCACGTCATGCCCCAAGGGAAATGGGCTTCATACCAAATTTTTACAGTCCCGTTTGCAGATTACATTCTAGGGACCATTAATTAGTTCCACATAAACCCTTAAACAAATAATACAAGAGCTACTCTAGAGATCCTTGGGAAATGTCGGTTGTGTGTGTTCCTCTGCTTTCATTGCAGGACTTCTCAGTGCCTTTATTATGCCAAGGTGCACTGTGGAGCTCCAAGAGAGGGTGGTAAATTGTGAGTTGGTAGCTCCCATACTTATTTGTTCCTATAGTCCTTTTCCCCATGGAGTATGTTGCAAGGCTAATGTCCCACCCAGTGCACCGTGGGAAATGCTGTATATTTAGTTTATCTACAGTGCCAGGGTATCCCATTTGATTAAGTATCCCTGACCACTATGTCTCCTGGGAGAACATCTCACCATACGTGGTGCATTAACATGTGGGAGGTGGGAGAAGCCGGCGTAATCCTTAGAAAGAAATGCATGACTGCCCTTTGGACTTGAGTCAGACTCCCTCAGTTTGGAAAGGGTGTGGGTCAAATATCTCTAACATTTTCATTGCTGACATTTAACTACAGATTTCATTGCCAGTGCACAATATCCAGACACTAAGCACCGCCCACACCTCCTTAGCTGCCTCATGCTATGTGGAGCTCTGTGTGGGAAATGGAATGAATCAGAGACTAGGCTGCTTAAATGGTAACACATGCATGCTCTATTCCATTCCTTCGTCTGGTACCATGCTTGCTGTGCAATCGAGTCATTTTGCCTCATTGATTTTTGTCTGTATGGAGCCATACAACAAAAACGATTTAAGTCCAACTCTACTCCATGCAAATGCGTACCTGTCATTAAAGCAGATGCATCCAAGCACCCGCAATGAGCAGCTTTGATAAACTTTGGGCCACACGGAGCATTCTTAATGAGGTTTAAGAAGATACCGCTTCAGTTATCAAAAATCTTGCTTTCAAATCCTGTGCAGTTCTGTGAATCACAATTTGGTCCTGAATGGAACACTTAGACAGAAACCGTGTGATCTTAGCATGTGTGCACAGAAGGTCCCTCTCAGATATGAATAGTTGTGAGGTGATAGGTTTCTCTCTCTGACCACCAGTCACAGTTGTTACTTAGCGATAAGCACTGTTTTGTGTGTGCGTGGTGTGTAAAGACTTAATTCTCATGTTGATATGTACTTAGTTCAGAAGGCTACCCTCCGTCCAGAGTTGGGAAGCTAGATGTCCATGGAATAGTCTATGCATTGATTCTAGGTGTACTCCACCAAGGACATAGCATACCATTCAGATGGTCTTGATGCTAACTCTCTTCTTGGACCATTTAACTGGCTAACTATTAGTCATTTTACCTGGTTCCCCTTAAATAATTTTGACCTTGCTTTTTGAAAAAACTTTGTCTGGCTGGCATGGCTCAGTGGTTGAACATCGATCTATGAACCAGGAGGTCACGGTTCTGATTCCTGGTCAGGACACACGCCCAGGTTATGGACTCTATCCTTAGTTGGTGGTGGGGGGTGGTGGTGCGGAAGTAGCCAATTGATGATTCTCTCTCATCATTGATGTTTCTGTCTCCCTTTCCCTCTCTCTTCCTCTCTGAAATCAACAAAAGTGTATTTATCATTCTTTCATTTCCTTGCTAAACTATATTTGAGAACCTGTTTGATCCATGTCCTGTCTATGGCATCTCTGCGTTTTTTTTTATCATATAGTCAAGTCTTCCATCTATTTCCCTACAAATGTTTTAAAGTAATCTTTTTTGCTAAAGAAAATATGTTACAGAGATGAAAAAATGAACTCATCTCTTATAAATTCTACAAGAATTTACTCCCCCAAAGAGCTTATTCTTAGAACTATACTGAGTCAGCAGTGTTTCTCTTTACAGTAACATATATATATATATGCATGCATTAGAAAAATGCCATGTGCTTATTTTACTGAATTATTAAAGAATTTGGTGAAATAATGTTGGTGTAAAATAATATTAAACAAACGGCATCTATTATCTTTAATGAATTCCATGTAATTTCCCTCATGGATTGTTTTACATGTAAACATGCATAGCACTATATTCTGGAATGAAGGGAGAGTATTAAAGTACATGTGATTATGCTGCTCTCTAGTGGTCACAAGAAAACATTTATCTACAGGAAGAAAGGAGGGAGAGGAGTTGAAATAGAAATTTTGAGTAGGCATAAGGACTCATCTCATATGCTGGTTCTTGATCAAATATTTATTATGTACTTTGATAGTTTATGACTTGTTTATAACTGCTTTCATTTTTAAATGGTTGAAATAGACTGTTATCTTAGGCAATTTCTCAGCTACTGCTATATTCTGCACAAATATAACCTCAAGCCCGGATTTTGAGATTGGCCACAAAACTGGGGGGGGGGGGGGGGGGGGGGGGGGATGGGGTCACATGCCCCATGTGGCATAATTGATTGTGGGCACTTCTATACAGATGACCTAAGTTAGTGAAAGAATATTTACCCTTCCCCATTTATATTCTGGAAGAGAACAACCTTGGGAAGAGATAGAATTGTGTGTGTGTGTGTGTGTGTGTGTGTGTGTGATCATGGATATTTAAGCATTCCTTTACTTTTGTGTCTTGCCAGTTAGCCCTGAGTCTATCTATTCTCTGATTATTCTGCTGCCTCTCATCTGGAAGGCACAATTTACTTATTTGATTACTACTTTTGCATATAGATGGTATTTTTGTGCGCTTGGTAAATGTGATTTTCTAAGAAACCTCCTACACGTAATATCAGCAAGTGAATATAAATAGTACAAACTATTTTAAAATATTATTAATTGAAATCTACTTCTGTTTAAATTTCCAAATATCTCCTTTAAAACATTCATTGCTGTTTACTAATGTGCTGATAATATTATGGCGGTAAAGGGTAGTCTCACCCTCGGCAGTAAGGTTCTGTCCGTAGTGAGTGCCTTTCATGGTACTGCCTCTGCATAAACACAAGCAAACTGGGGTTGGACTACAAATGTGATTATTTGAATGAACCTTCTTGCTGACAAGAAAATGGCTGGACACATGCCTGCCTTCTTAGAAAACCACGAAGAACTAGACTCACCAGTCTCTCCTGGATTTTAGAATTTAGCCTAAGTGATCCACAAAAGAATCTGCTGGATTAGACAAAGCAATTTTTTTTTCTTTTTCTTCTTTTCAATAGCAATTTCAACTAGGAACATGACATCATTTTTAATTTTTTTTTATTTTATTTCAGAGAGGAAGGGAGAGGGAGAGAGAGAGAAAAACATCAGTGATGAGAGAGAGTCATCAATTGGGTCCCTCCTGCATGCCCCACACTGGAGATCAAACCTGCAACCGGGGCATGTGCCCTGACCAGGAATCAAACTACTCAATGCTCAGCCACTGAGCCACGCCAACTGGGGTATGGACATGACATCTTGAAGTCAAAATTACGAAGTGCTTCAACTATTCTAGGATACACTACTGTTACTTTTTACAAATATGCCTTAGCCGGTTTTGCTCAGTAGTTAGAGCATTGGACTGAAGGGTCCGTGCTTCACTACCCAGTCAAGGGCACATACCTCAGTTGCAGGTTTGATCCCCGGCCCCTTTCCAGGCGTGTGCAGGAGGCAACAAGTAAATGTGTTTCTCACATCCATGCACCTTCCTTCCTCCCTCCCTCCCTCCCTCCCTCCCTCCCTCCCTCCCTCCCTCCCTCCCTCCTTTCCTTCCTTCCTTCCTTCCTTCCTTCCTTCCTTCCTTCCTTCCTTCCTTCCTTCCTTCCTTCCTTCCTCTTTCCCTCCCTCCCTCCCTCCCTCCTTCCTTCCTTCCCTTTTTTCTTTCTTACCTTCTTTCCTCCCTCCTTCCCTTCTTCCATCCCTTCCTCTCTCTATCTCTCTAAAGATGAACAGAAAAGATATCCTCAAATGAGTATTAAGGTAATAATAATAGTAATAATAACAATAATAATAATAATAATAATAATAATAATATTGTTTCCTTGTTTTTAGGTACCTGGATGGGAATCACTTCACACTGGTTCCTAAGGAACTCTCTAACTACAAACACTTAACACTTATGTAAGTAATGTGCGGTATGTTTCTGCCTTTGACTTCTCATCTATTTCATGAAAATGGGGTAGCAAGGGGCAGAGATGTAGTGAGCCTTTCAGATGATATAATTCATTCACAGTCAGAGGCTTCCCCTCACTCGCCTGGTTCTGGATCGCTAGATGCTGCTTCACTGTCAGACCATGGAGAGGCCTAGGAAAGGTCCTCTCTTCAAAGTACAAAGACAGTTAAGTCTGGGGTCATTTTATGGCAAGCCAAGGACAGATAGAAAAACATATTTTTATTCTTGACTTTAAACAAAAGATAGTAGATGATAGTAATCTCAATGAAAACATTAATCTAGTTTATTAGGTTTGATTCTCTTATATAATAAATTATGAATTGTTATGGGCTTCCAGTATTCAAATTGATTTTATAAAGTCTATGTTTACTTCTACAGTATTTCAGAAAATTGACAAAGATTTGACATTTTGAGTATAAATTTCAAAACACTGATTTTTTTTTTAGTTTGGTTTGATGTCCTAAGATAATATATTTTATTATTCATGTATGTAAATAACTTTTTTTGTTACAATTTCAAAGTAGATATAAGATCACATCTAAGCACACAAAAACTTCTATCTAGTTATGTGCAAATAATTTTAAAAATATAAAAATATGTAACCTCACCCAATATAATATCACACCTAGAGTAGCCTTCATAGAAACTGATAACATCTCGTGCACTGGGCCTCTAGTTATATTATAGTTTTGGTTTCTGCAGAATTTAAATAATGAGCATTTGTGCCATGAAATGAAAAAGGGTTGAAAATCGCTAATCTAGGGACGTGGTGGTTAGTTAAAATGATTCTTACGATTTTCAATTTTCCTTAAAAAAATATGAGAAAACACTTTGTAGAAAGCATTCAGGACTGTTTTGATGACAAACTATGAAATTAAGGGAAAAGGAATACTCTCCATAGCGCCTTGTTCTGCCCTAGTTATGTGTTTAACAGCAGCAAGAAGCGATTACATGAAGTTTGTTCTGTTAAATAAACCATTAAATTGCTGCCGTTTCCAAAGGGTCACTTCAGCGGAATCCGGTCATTTGTGGGACAGTGTGTGATTATTTAAAACCAATTTGAAAACAAAAAATGAGAATTTATAGATCCAAAAATGGTTTTACCAAGAAGTCCTTTTGCTGATATAGATATATTTATTTCCCTTAGGTATGGTACTTCAGCAGCTGAGAACATGAATTTTAGAGCTTCCATAACACCCTTACTATTTTCATAATTTAATTGGTCCATTTTAGTGATATTTTGCTGCTTTAATAAAGGAGTGGATAATTAGCTATTGCGGATCTTGCATTTAATATTTCATTTATTTTATTTCAGAAAAATTTAGTGAATATAAATACACATAGATAAATGAATATAAATTAAACCCTAAATTAATTATTCATGAATCTTCCTGTTATTTATATATTTTGCATTTTGCTTTAGGAAAACATTAGTGAATATATACACCTTCACTAATATCTGTGTCATTTTTGTATATATGAATGTTATATAGTCATAATTTTTCCTAAAGCAAAATGAAAAATATGTATATGTAAATGTTATATATTATTGTATTATATTGCATTATGTATCATATTTATAATATATTATGCCATTATGATATATATATATATATATATCACATATATTATATATAACAAAAATAAGATCAAGTTCACTGAATATAAATTATAACCCATAGTACAAAATACACTTATAAATAGCCATTTAGCTTTGGTGAATAATTCACATCTCTCTCATTTACTTACCATTCAATAAATAGATATTTGCTGAAAACCTAGTATGTATTGTGGTGACTTTGGCCAAGGGCATTATTTTTTTTTAAATATATTTTTAATGATTTCAGAGAGGAAGGGAGAGGGAGACAGATAGAAACATCAATGATGAGAAAGAATCATTCATTGACTGCCTCTTGCATGCTCCCTACTGGGGATGGAGCCCACTTCCTGAGCATGTGCCCTTGACCAGAATCAAACCCAGGACCCTTCAGTCCACAGCCCAGTGCTCTATACACTGAGCCAAATTGTCAAGGGTAGGGCAGAGTTTTTAATTAAGACATTTTGTTGTTAGTGGTTATAGTTTTTAAAAATTTTAAGACATTTTGTTGTTAGTGGTTGTAGTTTTCATTGATTTCAGAGAGGAAGGGAGAGGGCGAGAGAGATAGGATATATTTGTGAGGATATATTCCCAAGAAGATAAGTATGTGTCACTGATGGAACTTTCGTTGACATAGGTTTATTCACCTCATACAATGTATCCATTGTAACTGGCCTCTGCATGCCTTTGTTCTGGGACCAGGCAACAGTCACAGAGGCTGGGGAAGGTCACCAGTCTTATAAGAGAGAGAGGGGAAAGGACATGGGAAAAGTGAGCTCACTCTAAATCTTTTCTGAAGTGAAACTGGCTCTGATGCCTACATCTCATTGGCCAAAGCAAGACACATGAATTGTTGTGAATAACATAGTCTATTCCAGAAGGTTGCCTGATGTCTTATTTTTCAGATAAAAGCTGAGCGCTAAAATTGTTGCTATGACCTTGAAGACCTTCTCTTTCTATGAATCATGAATATTTCCATTTCTGTGCTAACAGTGGACTCCATTTCCTTCTTTTTCTCTTTCAGAGACTTAAGTAACAACCGAATAAGTACCCTTTCTAACCAGAGCTTCAGCAACATGACCCAGCTCCTTACCTTGTGAGTGTCAAAGTGCGGTACTGAGTTTTCGATAATTCACTAGGCACAGTGCATTTTCTTGGCACTGGACATTCCTAGTAAACAAGACAGATAGCATTTTTACCCTTGAGGAATGTAAACACTTGCTGGGAGAAACAGACAAATAATACCTCAATCAGCCAACAAACACAGACATTACAAAAGGTGTTCGGTTCTATAAAAGACAGAAGGGATATTTACACCTATGGCGGGGTTAGGAGAGATGCTTAATATATGCAAAAGGTCATCTTCAGGAGGGCATAGTTGATGCATCAACACCTGTGGAGATAGGAAGCTTTCTGGGCTATACTTAGGAAATATATAGGTGGTTTCTTTTAAACAGTACAATATTTTTTAAATACTAGATTTGTGTACTGGGGGGGGTGTCCCTCAGCCCAGCCTGCACCTTGTGAGATCGGGCTTAAACGGCAGTCAGACATTCCTCTCACAATCCGGAACTGCTAGCTCCTAACCACCTGCTTGTCTGATTTCCCCTAACCACTTCTGCCTGACAGACTGATCGCCCCCTAACCGCTCCCCTGCCAGCCAGATAGATGCCTTACTGCTCCTCTGCTGGTCCAATGGCCTTCAACTGCCTTCGCCTATGGATCTGATTGCCCCCAACTGCCCTCCGCTGCTGGCTTGATTGTGTCTAACTGCCCTCCCCCGTAGGTCAACTTATGGTGGCCATTTTGTGACAATGTGAGGACAGCCATCTTGTGATGATGCGGGGGTGTGAGGACCACCTAGGCTTTTATTAGTACAGGTAGTCCTCAGGTTACATCGGACTCAACTTAGGAGATGGTTATGTCACCATCTCCTGTTTACAGTATTTAAAAAAAAAAAAAAGTTCCGTTATTTCTATAATATGTATGTATATGTGCTTTATGTTTTTTATTTATTTACCACAAGTAAAGGTCAGGAATTGTTATCTTTCTTTTAAATTTTGTTACTATTTCACTTCATTGCTGTTGTGTAAGTGCTCCATGTGAGTGACATAGGTGCTTAAGTGACTTCTGACTTACGGCAAAAAACGAGTTATGCCGTGCCATAGGAATGGGTGGGTCTCCTACATAACCCAAGGATTGCCTGTATAGGTTATGTGTCAATATTCTCTATTTATAATATACTAAAATAAACTTCTTCTTAGCCACTTTATTTTTAAAATGACATCTGGCCCTTTTGTGATGCCTGATAAGACCACTTGGCTTCTATATGCTTTCAGGATTCTTAGTTACAACCGTCTGAGATGTATTCCTCCACGAACCTTTGATGGATTGAAGTCTCTTCGATTACTGTAAGCATCTGATGTTCAACACAGACACTCTTCTCAGGGATTGAGTTGTCTATTTACTACTGGCTTAACTGCTTTGTGGATCCTGGGATGTATCTGGTTATATGCATTAGGATTTACTACAAATCAGGAAACCATGTCTAACTACATCATTGTTCATCAGCTTTAATTTGGACAATATAATTTTATCTTCTGTCATTTTTTTTGCTGTAGTTGTTTATTTGATAATATACAATATTTAGAGGTATACTTTACATAGAGTCAACTAATTTTGAAAGAAATGTAGGAAATATTGTCTTTGCTGATTACATAATAAGTGAATTTTTAAAGTATATAAAGTAAAACATAATCCTCAAGCCCAGTACCCTCCCCAAGAACTGACCATTAACCAATTTGATGTTCTTTTCTAGTCCTTTTTTATAAGCATTTAGTTCTTGTTTGTTTTTAATGAATTTTTCTTTATTTCAGAGAGAAATGGAGAGAAAGAGAGAGGGAGAAATAACAATGATGAGAATCATTGAACGGTTGCCTCCTGTACACCCTCAACTGGGGATTGAGCCTACAACCTGGGGATTGAGCCCACAACCCAGGCATATGCCCTTGATCAGAATTGAATCAGGGAACCTTCAGTTCACTGGATGATGCTCTATTCACTGAGCAAAACTGGTGAGGGCAACACATTTGTTTTTTGTTTTTTTTGGTTTTTTTTATGATATACATATTCCCTGGTTATATAAATTTTTAAAGCTACAAATAGGAATTTTTCTTTTTTGGTCACATCTTTACTATCATTTGTTTTACTTCCAAATTTTCATAATTCTGTTCATCACTCTAAAGAACAGCCCACACTTTGGTACAAATGTGCTAGTATTTCAGCAATGATTTGCGGGGGAAGTTAATGTCAAGTGTATTGGGAGAATACACAATTTACAAATTTATGTTTTCCACCAACTATTTAATAGAGTATCTGCTTTAAAGCACTCCTTAAAATATTGAATATTATTAATCCTTTCATTTTCATCATATGACAAAAGCAACTTTATTTCTCATTTCTGATTTAATTTGCAATTCCAATTACTCAAGCATTTGAATATATTTTGTTTATTGAGCATTTGTGCTGCTTAATATATGAGTCTGATCTTACTGTTGCCTGATTTTTACTGGGTACTTTGTATTTTCCTTATTAACTTACATATCTTTATGCATCTACCACTTGATCCTAAGTTTGCAGGTCTTTTCACAAAGGAATTATTCCTTGTGTCTTATATGTGTTGCAAATATTTGTCATCCTGTTTTTTATATATAATCTTTTATAGTATGAATATATTTTATGTTGTCAAAAATTTGTCACTCCTTTTCATTATGGTTACTGAGATTTACACCATGATTTTGAAAACTTTTCCTATCCTGTTTATAAAACAGAACTCTCCTGTATTTTCTCCTACTACACTTCAGTTTTATTTTTACATTTAACTCTTCAACCTAGAATTTATTTTATGCATATGCCTTGAGGTAGAACTAATTTTTTGCTTTCCAAAATAGATATCAAAGCTATAGATTGACTAAACCCATGGTCAGCAAACTGCGGCTCGCGAGCCACATATGGCTCTTTGGCCCCTTGAGTGTGGCTCTTCCACAAAATACCATGGCCTGGGCGAGTTTATTTTGAAGAAGTGGCATTAGAAGAAGTTTAAGTTTAAAAAATTTTGCTCTCAAAAGAAATTTCAATCGTTGTACTGTTGATATTTGGCTCTGTTGACTGATGAGTTTGCGACCACTGGTCTAGACCATCTTGTCAGCACTAATTTAAAATGCTTATCATCAAGTTTTATATATACATGCGGATTTTTCAGAACTTTCTGATTTAATGGAAATTTAATTTTCTTTTTTCTTGTTTTAGTTCTTTACATGGAAATGACATTTCTGTTGTGCCTGAAGGTGCTTTCAATGATCTTTCCGCATTATCACACCTGTGAGTACCTAGTTCGTGATCTGGGTTTAGGCTCCAACTGTCCCTGACAAGCTAGTTTGCAAAACACATCCTCTACTGCCCCTTTTATTGTCACATCTTCACATGTGAATGGTTCTATTTTAAGGAAAATGTAAAGATTTTCAATGAAGATATGATGAACTCCACAAAATAGCCTTAATTTATTATTTTGGTCCATACCCCCATTAGTTGAGTTCTCTTTGCTTACACAACATCCTCGCCAATGCCTTTGCTCTTGATGTTCTCTGATTCTAAAATATTGGCTCTCCTTCCATTCAATCTCTCCAAACCCAATTGTTCTAAGACACATCCCAAGTATCACCTCTTCCATAAAGCCTACCCCGATTGCCTCACACAGGATTCATTTATTTAGCCAATATTATTCAGCAATGACTATGGTTCCATGCAGAAATAAATGAGGCAGAGATCACAATTTTATAATGTGGTAGAGGACAATAGCTAAATCCTCAGAGTTGGGTGAAACACTTTTCTTTTTGTTCTTTGTTATAGCAGCCATTTATACCTCCATATTTCCTGGAAGTGCAATTTTTTCAAAAATTAAAAATATGGGATAAATGGTGTCCAAAAACTGAGCTGGGTCAAATTTCATGATTCTGTTATTTTCACTTGTACTGTTAAGACCATGGCCAACCTGGACGGAAGTTGGGGGAACAGTCCTAGGAACCCCAGCCTTCCTGGGGCAGGCTGGATGGGCATTCCCGGGGAGTGGTTCTCTGCCTTGGCTTAAATGTCAGTGTCACTGGGCTCCTGTTTCCCCGGAGAGGCTGCCTGCTATGTTTCCTCTTGGTTTTGCTCTTCCCTCCCAAACCCACCAAACTCACCAAGAAAAGACTGTGGCAAATTGAGGAAGGGGGATGGGTGGAGGATAGGAGTTGTCAATCGCGCTACATCTGAATGTTCTCTTATGGGGCTGTGTTCTCCATGCACGTGCTTGCACATCTGATTGTTTGGTGCCTACAGTTAATATCCTTCCAACTAAATGATTAGGTCGCAGGAGGCAAGACCTCTATGTTTTCCATATTTGAACCCCAGCACCTCAAAGTCAACATCAGGACCATTCAGCGGTGTCATTTGCCTGAGACACGATGTTAATGAAAACCAGTAGCTCTGGGTGCAGGACCGTGGTGCCCTCTGACAGACTATACCGTGCAGCATAAAAAAAGGAAGCAGCCGTCCCATCCGCTAGGTTAAGGTGATGGTGCAGAAAGGGCTGCCCTGGGCAATGTGGCTTGAGCTCAGAGGGACATCCCCTTCTGTGGCCACCCGCTCCCAGTGAGGGCAATTTGAACTTCTTTGTCCTGTGTTCCGTTCACTCGTGTATTTAATGTGTGCGTTTGTCTCTTACTCCCTAGGTTATAAGCAGCTCTACTCTACTCACTTTTTTGCTGTGCCCCTCACATAGTAAGGACTTAGCAAGTGTCACTAAGGAAGAGACCAAATGACACAAAAACATCATTTTGCTCATTTTTTATTTGAAAAAAAAAAAGAGTTTGAATCTGACACAGAGATGACCATAACATTTACTCCAGTTCTTTGGTTAAAGTTGGGCATTAAAGTTACAATGTAAAGTATTTTACAAGCATATTTGTTTTGTTTTTTTCTAATAAAACAGTAACTTTAATTTTATGTAGACCATAGAACTGAAATGTTATTAATCTGAAGTTAATTATCAATCAGAATTAATCAGTTTTTAAATGCTGTTTTATGTATCTCTTGTGCCCAAACTTGGCAATTTTACAAACCCAGTGGTTAACTGATTTGGCCTTGGGTTAGTAATCTGTAAAATGCTTTATTGATACTATGGACATCAGAGAGTTGCTCTTTTGGATAAAATGATGTGATCTGTGTAGATACACGGCTTAGCACAGCTCCTGCCTATGGGAAGATGCAGTGAATGTTAGCTATTACCTTAATTACTCTTTCTATAGCTACTGCTGCTTGTGTGAGTAGGAACCGAAGTTCTGAAATGAAACACTTTGTAAAGGGTCCTTCATCCAGTGATGGTCTAACTCAGCTCTGGCGAACTAGGTCTCTATTTTCCCAGGCACGTTCTCCTCTTTGTACCTGTGTGTCCACTGGTTTTTACCCTGGGGCATCCTCACAGCCTTTCCCACCTACTTGACCATCCAAAAGCTTAGACATTTGAACCACCAGCCCCAAAGGAGTTACCCTCTGCCCACAGTCCTCTTGTAAGTCCTTCTGCTAGAGCATTTCTAAAAGAAGTGTGTGTGCGCACCTGTGCATATAGGTTAATCTCCCTTGCAGTAGGCGTTCTTGGGAGTTAAATGTAATGTAGGTTTCATATTGGGTCCCCAGAATCCAGCATTGTGATTGGATTCTCATTAAATAATCGGTGAATGAAGGAAGCGTTGATCTCCACCCAATTAAAACCCATCTCTGCAAATACCTGGACACTGTCTAAATTTTAGGTACTACTTAACACTGGTGACAACTCACTAAATCTCAGTTGCACATAATCCAGGAGAATGGGTAGCCCGGTATCTTCCTTTTCTTCTAAGTTGTTTTTGTCAATAAATCTATAGGGAATTTCTACTGAGCATCTCTTTATGTTCCCTTAGGAAATAATATGTGTGTGTGTGTGTGTGTGTGTGTGTGTGTGTGTGTGTGTGTGTGTGGTGTTTTTCAGAGCAATTGGAGCCAACCCTCTGTACTGTGACTGTAACATGCAGTGGTTATCCGAGTGGGTGAAGTCGGAATATAAAGAACCTGGAATTGCCCGTTGCGCCGGACCCGGAGAAATGGCAGATAAACTGTTACTCACAACTCCCTCCAAAAAATTCACATGTCAAGGTATGCTATTTAATCATTTGTATTTCTGTCAATAAAATTTGCCATGTTCATTTCAAAAAGAAAAAAATAAAATAAAGGACCGTCTGCTGCTAGATTTTAAAGGTATAGCTGAAAAGCCCCAGTAACTGCTGTTCCCACCCACACTTGGGCAAGACAGAGCAGGTACCTGAGGCACCCAAGGAAAGAATTAGGCTTTTCAAACCAATTGCAGAATAGTCCATTGGAAATGACTAAGTGTTCTTTAAAGTGCATGGAGAAGGGAAGAGTGCACAGTTTCTGGAAGTTCCTCTCCTAGCCTTAACCAGAGAAATGTTTTGCTTTTGCTTTGTTTGCACATGCACCCTGCTCCCAGGGCTGCCAGGGCCCTGTGGACTCCTGACACCAGGTAAGGAGATGAGCCCCCAGTATCAGGCCAAACCGCCCCTCTGGCCTCTCGTGCTGCCCTCTTCCTGGCATAGTATGGCTCTCACTTCCTACCGTATGTCCTTTGCTTCCCCTTTGTTTTATGTATTTGTGAATTTGCAACAGCATCTTATTAACAAATAGTTTTCTATTATTACAAGGATAATATGCATTCAACATAGAAAAATCCAAAGAATAAATTGTAAATAAGAAATAATTCATTTCTGCAAAAACTAAAATGAATCATTAATCCCCATACCTAGAGATAAACATTATTAAACTTGTTTTGTATATTTTCCATGTTTTCTAGTCAAATGCATGGGTTTATTTTTTTTAATATATTTTTATTGATTTCAGAGAGGAAGGGAGAGGGAGAGATAGAAACATCAATGATGGAAGAGAATCATTGATCAGCTGCCCCCTGCATGGCCCACAGTGGGTATAGAGCCCTCAACCCAGGCATGTACCCTGAACAGGAATCAAACTGTGACCTCTTGGTTCATAGGTCAACACTCAACCACTGAGCCACACTGGCCAGGTTCAAATGCATGGATTTAAGTTCCTTACCAAAAATGGAATAGAAGTTTACTGTCATTCTTAATTTGTAGATTGTCATTACTAATGGAGGAGAGAAATTCTTGAAAATTTTAAATGTATAATCAGTAAATGTTTATTAAACATGTTTTATGTGTAAAACTAAATCCTAGGTATCATGGAACATATAGAAGTTAGTGTTATGTTCTTGCCTTCCAAGGCTTGAAAACCAAGCTGAAAAGATAAGCTTCCAGCCAAAACTGGTTTGGTCCAGTGGATAGAGTGTCAGCCTGCGGACTGAAAGGTCCCGGGTTCGATTCCGGTCAAGGGCATGTACCTTGGTTGTGGGCATATCTCCAGTAGGAGGTGTGCAGGAGGCAGCTGATGGATATTTCTCTCTCATCAATGTTTCTAACTCTCTATCCCTCTCCTTTCCTCTCTATAAAAAAATCAGTAAAATATATATATATTTTTTTAAAAGATAAGCTTCCAATGTTTGCACAGTTAGGTGGGAAAAACATATCTAAGTAGGCCATAGTGTACATTGGGTCACAATGGGTCATAGTGTGCATAGGTCACAGTAGGTCATAGTCTGCAGGGGGTGATAATGTGCAGGATGTCACCATGGGTCATAGTGTGTATGGGTCACAGTGGGTCATGGTGTGCAGGGGGTCACAGTGGGTCATGGTGTGCATGGGGTCATAGTGGGATGGCTGAGCCCTGCCTGACTTACCCTGGGCTAAAACCAGGTTCACATTGCAGCAGTTATGGAACAGTTTAGCTACACTGAGTTGTCTCCTGTGTAAGCAGAGGTGATCAATACCTACCCAAAAGAACTTTGTTAACACTAGATAAATCATTATAAGGGAAAATGAATAGCTGTTGGTCAAAGGCTTCAAACTTTTAGTTATAAGAAGAATAAGTTGAGATGATGGAATGTTCAGTATGATCACAGTAGTTAATAATACAATGTTGGCCTGGCTGGTGTGGTTCAATGATTGAGTGTTGACCTATGATCCAGGTGGTCTTGGTTCAACTCCCAGTCAGGGCATCGGTTAGGGCACACGCAGTCTTGATCCCTAGTTGGAGGCATGCAGGAGGTTGCCTATCAATGATTTTCTCTTTTCTTTGATGTTTCTCTCTCTCCCTCTCCCTTCCTCTCTGAGAAAAATAATAATAATAGTACAATATTGTATCCTTGAAAGATGCTGAGTAGATCTTGAGCAATCTTACCACAAACAAAAATGTTAACAGATGAGTTAATTATCTTAATTCCACAATATTCATGTATATCTCATCATCATGTTGTACACATTAAATATATGCCTTTATATTCACCAATTATCCCTCCATAAAGTTGGGGGGATGATTAGTTGAATTAAATATATATATAAAACACGTTACCTTACACACAGAAAGCACCCCTTGTAGGTTAACCACTCACTTTATTATAACTCTTCAAAAGACCAACAAACATGATGAGGGACTCTCCATGATTTATTGATTAAAGAAGGGGTTTTCAAAACCTATCTTCCCTATAAACATTTTTAACTTGGCATCTAATGTTTGTTTTTCATAGCTATAAATGGTTGCAAAATAGGTTGTTTGCAGTGCACTATAATTAAAACAAAATTCTGCCATTCTTTTAAATGTATTTGGTGGAATCTACATTATAACAGCTAATTTTATAAAACAAAAACAAGATGCTTCTTTTTCTTTTTTCCTTGCACTTATGTTTTTCTCCTTGAATTTTCAGTATTTCAGAGAATTGTATCATTCGTTGTTCATATATATATATATATATATATATATATATATATAAATTAAAATTTAAAAAAGTTTTCTGCCACCAAAAACCTGTGGGTTTTTATATTTTCTTTCTTTAAATTATTTCCATTAATTCCTAAACCATTGATTGGAACACCATTGATTGGGATAGCAAAATTATTTACCCATATTTTAATATTGTTATTGAAAGTAAAATGTTATTGGAAATGCCTCTCTGAGATTATGTGCATTGACTGCAAGAGCCTTGGCAGATAGCCAGTATTTTACATGGTTCTTTGGTGACTCCGTTTCCTTGGGCAGTGCCCTGTGGGAAGTTCCTGGTGGGCCGAGAGGTGCCCTACCCTTTGTAAAGTGGAGATGATTGTCAGAGGGAAAAGGAAACCAGCATCCCTCTTATTCTTAGGAATGTTACTGGGCAGAGTGGCTTCAGAAAGATTGCGTGGAGGAAGTTGAAAAATGTCAGACTGATTCTATTACACTTCTCTGTGCTCAAGGATACATGTATTCTATTTTGAAAAATACTAGTGCTTCTCTGTATTTCTTAAAGTTTAGAGTTTTCCAGAGATATTTTTCGGGGGGGAAAAAAGTCATGGTAACACAAATTTGAGAAAAGCTGTATACTTATATTCCATCTTTAGATTAAATGTTCCCAAATCCAAAGGCATGCATGTGTACATATATACATATGTACAAACACATCTGTTTAACTCAAAATTTATCTAATGACTTACCTTTTTTGTTCATCTAGTTAATGACTATAGAGTCTCCGGTACTTACTGTTGTGTGAATGGAAATGTGTGGGAGGGGATATTGGCCTATCTGCTTGGTAGAACTTGGTGCAATGATGGAAATATGGTACATCTGCAATATCCTGGCTGGCAGCCATAGTGTTTGTTGGGCACATAATGTGGCAAGTGCAACTGAGGAAGTGCATTTTAAATTTTATGTAACTTAAATATGAATATAAATTACCGTATGTGGCTGGTGGCTACCATATTGGGTAGAAGAGTTGCTATCAGGGTTCAGAGGCAGGTGGCGGTGAAGGGTGAGTGTGCAGGTGTGTCTAAGCCAGCTGTGGAGAAGCTGGCGGATGTAGGACTGTGGTGCTCCCGAATGGAACTGCAGGAGCAGAGCTGAGCAGGAGTCAAGTTCTGGAGGGGTCCAAGGGCCTCCAGGAAATGGTTGAGCTGAGACTGGTTAATTGACAGATGATTTAAGGGTGTAGGCTTCTCAGCAGGACTATGGCAGTTTAGTTTAATATTCACTAAGTTATCAAATGAACCAATTCTATAATGTCCAAAGTGCTACCTTAAGCTGGGTAGCAAACACCATGAGTGTGCACCAGTTGGCCAGCAGTGTAGGCATCCAGAAGTCAACAAATACAGCACAACTGCATTTAGCAGACTTCAGGATGTACTCACTGTTGCTATACCCGAATATAATTAAGATGCTGGGCTAGTTCAACATTTATAACATTTTAGATTGGATCTCTGCCCATACTGCCACTGCTACTAAAAATAATATCCACAGAGAAAGCCATTTTGTACTGAGCAGTTTGCATTGTGCTGAGAATTTTATGTAGCTATGTATATCTCAATTTTCACACCATTCCTATAGTAGGTACAATTATTTCCACATTTGAGAGAAGAAAATACTGTAATGCAGGGAGATGATTTAATTAAAAATCACTCAGCTGCTGAGTGAAGGAGCCAGACTTGAGCCCTGTCTGACTGCAGAGCTTGCTGCTGGAGTTGAAATCCTAATGTTCAGTAAAAATATTCTCAAAACATACTATCACTATAAATAAGATGCTTCCCCACACACACACACACACTATGGAGAAAATGAAAGTTTGAACCACTCACATGCTGCTAGACATATTTACATAATAAATGGATTGGTAGGAGGCAAAGTGTCCTAATTTTCAATTAGAATAATTCAATGTAGGAGATCTGAGTGCTTAAAAGCAATAAAATGATGCTCCTTAAATACTTTGTAATTTGAATTGTTTATATTTTAATGAAACTTTCCCTGTAGTTATGCCAGTTTGATGTGTTTTATTTTATTCATGAAAACATGTAAGTACATACTCCTCCAATTAAGGCTTGTAAATACATAATTTCAATTACAAGAAGAGGAATATTCTTTATTTGAAGACATGTTTACATGGCTATAATTAAATGTAATTTAGGGGTTATCTCTGCTAAGAAAGACTGGGCTACTATTTTGAATAATTAGTTTTTTCACAACAATTTTTATCCTACATTTTCAGAGTA